TTGGTAACCGTAGCTTTTGTGATGGTTTCAAAATTTCGTGTTTTTTGGTCATTTTTGCTCGAACATGACCTCAGTTTGACCTCAATAACTCCTGACCTAAGGTGACGTAAGACTTGAAATTTTGTGTGAAGATGTCAAATCGATGCCCGGGAAGGAACTAAAAATTTGGCATTCAGGATAAACCATGGGGGGGGGGCAAATTGCCTCCCCCAACGGGGCGAGGGCTAACCCTCGCCCGTAATTATTGTTTTCTCGGACGCTACCGTGTGCGGGGGGAGGGGTCCGCGGGGGAGGGTTCCGTTGGAACCCTTGCCGTGCGGCCCCTGATCGAGCTAAACCTTTCGCGGAAAAAATAGCGTGCTTTCCGTGGTTACATAGAAGAAGCCAATAATACCCAAACCATACGGCCCCAGGCCATTGGTATTTGGTTGACATTCCAGGTCGATTCCAAATAGCATAGGGGACATCCTGTCTTTTTAATCGCCTTTGAGACGCAACAGCCAACAACCTCAATTGATGCCAATGCGTGATTAACTTTTCATTAGTTTGTTTGCAAGCTCGCAATGGCTTCGGTCAATTACCGTCAACTTGGGTCAAATAACTATATTCAAAGGCGGGTTGATATGTACGTGTTGGGTTCTTGTATCGAAGTTCAACATTGCCATTGCCCCTCCAGTCCAAATGTTCCCCAGAATAGATACTGTGGCGCCGGGCTGGAGCGTCTGTAGGCGCGGTGCTGACCGGTCGAGTCAGGTCGGCTGTGTCAAAAGGGCAAGTTGGGGGGGGGGGGGCAACTACCCCACCAACTGTACAGGAAGCTCCGTCCCTGAGGAAGAGTGATCATTACTGTTATTCATACATACTTGCATACATTCACATGATCGCTCAGATGCGCGGTAGCCTTTCCAGCTTTCCATTAATGGTTGGGAGAAAAGTAAGCAGACTGGTCGCAGAAGTTCAACCACGCCAAAAATGGCTTACAGTTCATTATTTAATTGCATATTAATATTTGCGAGCGACGTCTAAGCGACATGAAAGAATAATTCACGAACTCACTAGAATGAATCGGTACCTACTCAGTGAATTCCAACAGCAACTGGGAAAACACCAATACGGGCGAGGGTTAAGTCGCAGACGATCTATCCAATATGTCTGATAGCTGCACGAAACGCATAGGAACTTCGCAAACTCACTTGAATGAATCGCTGCTCCGAGGATTCCCCGGGTGGTTCGCGGATCTCGTCAACTCTTCAGGGAGTTCGCGGTTATCCTGAAGAGTCTTGTTCATCCGCAGATCTCCGCCCGTTTATCCGCGAATATACTAGACTTGATGTTCATCCGCGGAGCCACTAGGGACTCCGTGGATTCCCTAGGGACTCCGCGGATCCACCGATTTCGCAAACTCACTCTAACATCGATATTATTCTGCCCCGAAAAATGTCACCATCCTCCAAAACACTCGCTATCACGTTGGTGTAGACTGTAGAACAATTTGTGAGCGTGTGACATGCAGCTACCAGCTGTTATACCTACCTACCTATAAACTTTTTTTAAAGCAAAAAATGCGCCTGAAAACGAAGAATTCGTGCATCTCTTGACGATATTATTACATATGAATGAAATAAAAATTAAGCAGCTTATATTTATGATAACGATGGCTCGAACATCTTTGTAAATCCATACATCTTTCACCGTTATAGACGTGGTCATTGACATCAAAATCCCTCTAGAGAGCTGACATTTCACAGCATATCTACGAGGCCCCATCTCCGGCTAGGAAGGAGGGCGCCTCGGGCGGTGATACTCTGCCTCGGGCTGCCGCTATGGCTGCCACGAGCCCAACATTGCTCCCGAGGGCACACTGGGTCGGCTGACGGGTCTGTTCAATGATTTTTACTGAACCTCCGTGGTGGCGAGATGCCGAATGTTCAGCTACAGGATGATGATTTTACCCCAGGGATCAGCGAGTTGGGTGGGGGAAGGAGGGTGAATTGCGCCACCTTAAGGAAAAACGATAATTGTAAGAAAACCGCTGAAGATATAAGCATGCACTGGTAACCACTTCAAAAGGAACTCATTAGCTACGATTTAAGAGCCTCCCGATCAATTAATAATGTTTCGTTTGCTTCCGACAGCTGCTTTTTTAGAAACGTGCAAAAGGGCGCATTTACCAACAACTGCTGTAAATTGCGCCAGGGGGATGGCGCAATTAGAATCCAATTGCGCCCTATACCTAAACATGGCTAAGCGAATGAGACGGAATGCGCACACCCCGGCAGTGTAATGTCATTGTGGCTTACTTAAACATTATAATGTTAATCAGGCTGGATAAATAATAAATGTATATATAAATCGCAATGTGATAACAATAACACGTCAAATGTATATTTAATTATATACATTTATCAAATGTATATTTGTATATTTAATTGTTATTGTTATCATTTATCCTAACTGTCTTGGATATTCTACATAAATCGCAATGTTTTTTGCCCAGGCAAATAACTTTACATACATGTGTTCGTATGCTTGTAAAGGTCCAACGAAAACGTTTCATGTAACCGACTAGATATATGTGAAAGTATGCGCCTATACGGTTAAATTTTCAATCGTTTCTCTCAAAATTAATGATTTTTATCGTTTCGACAACTTGTTGACATCAGTGTTTACTTTTTATCATAGCTGTCACCTCTCGCGCCCGAGTTCATGTTAAAAATGCCGTATTTTGTCAATTACACCACAAGTTCGCAGCCTAAATGGCAGCTGCATTATAAGTTTGACGAGATAAATAATTTGCGGACTGACGACAGCGGGCTGCTCCCCTGCCTGGCATTAAACTCCTTCTTTATTGCAATCAGTTAATGATGCATTCATACTGTCGTGATACAATAGCTACACCATTATTCTATTTGCGCCCCCATGGCGCAATTGCCATGGGCGCAATTAAAATTGAGGTACTTTTTAATAAAAGCGTTGAAGTTATCATAAATATGCTGAAGGAAGTTTACTGTTTAAGTGAAATATAATGAAAAAAGGGTGTTTCTTTCTAAATATCACTCTGAAAATCACACACGTATCACATATTTTTATAGTCAACGGTTCAAAATACTGCAAAAAAGCTAAGAAAACGCCGTAATATCTTTGATGGCGTAATGAGCCCTGCTGATTGGCTTCGTCGAAGAGCTTGGGCCTTAACCCTCGCCGGCCGAGGGGGGGGGGCGGGTGCCGCCCCCCCCCATAGGGTTTTTTCGCGATAGCTCCGAACACGCTGGCGATAGAGAGCTGAAACTTGGCATACCTGACCTTTGATCCAAGCCGCATCTTTTGACACCAACCCCATTTTTGGGTCAGGTCAGGTCACTGACCTATGACGTCATAAGTGAACCTCTGCACGGTCTTCAGATGTCGCAACTTCGCAACGCCCTCACTGCCAGAGGAGATGTCACAGGGAAATGAAACTTGCAGGATCTAGTATCCATTATGAGTCCCACAACTTGTATATCTCGGATTTTTCCTAAAGGTCATATGAGGTCAGGTCATTTTCGTGACCTCACCATTATAAGTCAATGGGGAAAAATGAAAACTGATATTCTGGCGCCGGGAACGATCTCCAACTATCTCAAGCACACAGAATCGTGATTTGATGCACTCCTTGCAAGGTTAGATGCGTCACTTTTGCAATGTTGACCTTGCGTGACGTCATTTATGACGTCATCAAGGTCATATTAGTTTTTCGTCAATAACTCTTGATCAAATTGAGCTAGCGAGTCGGGAAAGGCACCAATGGACTCAGGAAGGCCTGCCGAATCGAATGATATGCGACATGACCTCTTTCGACCAACTTCGTGACCTGGGGGTGCTGACCTGACCTTGACCTGAGGTCAACACCCCAAGTTGACCTGACCCGGACAAAAAGTATATCATTCGACGCGCCTGAGCGAGGTGAACACCATGCTGCCAAAATCGGCGCTCTGCGGCCGTTTTTTGCGAAGTTATTCACCAAAAACTGAACCGTACCCTGAGGCACTTGACCTGACCTCAGAGGTCACCGGATGACCTAGGACCTTAAAATCGGGTACCAATCTCTGCGTCTCGTAACGGCGCACACGCTCGTTTTTTCCGCGACGCGCTAGCTCCACTAGGGGCGAAACGGCGAGGGGGGGTCGTACCCGCCCCCCCCCCTCGGCCGGCGCGTATGTAGAAAACCAATAGGTCCGGCGAGGGTTAAAATGATCTATCCGGTGATGAAAATATTGTTTTCAAACACAAAATTATAAACATGCCATTGAATTCGTGGGAATGTTGGTGGGCGCAATTGGTTAGGAGGGCGCAATACACCCACTTTCCCCTGCATCATTCGGCCTGGATGCTTTGATAATTGATATAAAGAAAGTCTGCCGGCTCGACATGCCGTGGCATATTTAACATTTAATGGGTTTCTTCAAATGCTATCAGCATACAAAATTGACCCGTTTAACATATCAATGGCGAGGGCAGTAGGCATAAATGCCGAAAATTTTGATTTGCACACTTTTGTAATCATTACGAAGTCGTACAAAACAACAGTAGCGGCGGAACACCTTCAATCAAAGGGGTAGGGCACTGCCGACTTTTGGTCCCATTCTTTCCATGCAACGCCCATAGGGCTAATGTTAAAATGCCAAAATTAAGGGGGCACGGTGCCCCGGTACACCCCCCACATTCCGTCGCCTATGCAAAACAATTAGCCAAAACTTGCTTTGGTACTTTTGCCCCTTTTGCCTACGCTCTAAACAGAAACCTACCTTTTATATTGTTCCTATGTGAAATTCTTCTTTAAATATTTGTGGTCAAAATGTCCGAAATGGTAATATGCAAATGAAGTTCAGGTCTTAGATATAGGGCCTGGAGTTATGGCACCATGTGACATGCAATCCTTGCAATAGTTCATTAATTGTCATTTATGTTAATGCTGCTATAAGGTATGCCAACGACTGACATTTTTCTTCTTTTTAGCTCTCCATAATCATGATCTCATCGCCGACTGAACCACCCGCCGGCGGTCTTCGCCACTAGCGCCCCCTATCGGCGAGTTGTCGGCGATCTGCGCGCCACCTGTGGGCGACCTGAGAATGTCAGCATGCTGGCCAGCCCGGAGAACACGGACGACCTGGGCGAGAGCACCCCCAGCGGCTCAGTGGACGGAGACGAGGTGCTGCTGAGGCGGCAGGCGCTGCACGACGTGAGTTCCCTATCACACTGCACGTGATTGCACTGTTCGCAATGGCCGGCGATAATGGAAAGGTCAATTATGAGCCTTTCCATTATGTTGTCGAATGTTGGCAGTTAACAATTACCTACGAAAGCAACATGAATGCTTTACCAGACAATTGACATCAATCTGCATTGTCCTATCAGTGCATGCATAAGGTTTGTTATCCTTTGATGAAGAGTCCCTTTCCCGGCACGGCCTTCTACATATAAAGGAATAGGTATGCATTACCAACAATAAGTGTAATGTTTGTCTTTTATCTCAAATGTAATGCACGTAAAAAGAACGTCGAATCATAAAATTGTTGATTTTGGCACAGCGTGATATGGTGCTCATCAGATTCTCCTCTGTTTCAGAACTTACGGGATATATTTGATAAGGTAAGTTATCAGTGTTACAAATATTTGTGTATTGAGATTGGCGTGTGTTGCATATTAAAAGTAATTCGCATTGGTATTTATTGAACGTTGCATGTCAGTGGCGGATCCAGGATTTTCACTGGGGAGGGGCTGCAGGTCATAATTGGGCGCCACGCCCCGGATGGGCGCCATAGTCGCATCGTATTGGCGCTGAAATATTGGCGCCCAGTGGCCCTGACAAGAGGCGCCCAGGATCAGTATGTACAGTGACACCACACGATTGGAAATATCGGTGCGGAGCGTACTGAAACGACGTTATTCGACTGATTTTTGCATCCTAGTCCTAGTATGCGGCACTCCGATGAGTTGCGAATTGAAAATTGGCGCCACTGCGCCTTCGGCGCAGTGGCGCCAGTTTTCCTTGGGTGGGGGCTGCCAGCCCCCGCAGCCCCCCCCCCCTGGATCCGCCACTGTTGCATGTAAGTGAACACGTTTTCGTAGCTTCACCGTTCATAGCTCGCGTTGTTAGCTCTATAATCCCGTTCTTCATTGAACTATAGATCAATCGACCGACTTTGACCCAAGTGTTGTAAATAACATAGTGTTATCTATATTACTCGAGGTAAAGAACCAGGTACTTGATGTAAGTTTTCACCAAAACCGTGATGATGTGGCCACTTTTTGGCCAAAGCTATATAACAATAAACCAGTTGTTTGCCTGTGTTGTTTTGTTGGGTTAGGCCCTTTCGGTCTAATGAGACCATTGAAGAGCAGGGAGGATGATAGGAATTAGGGGGAGACATTGGTCTGGGTAGGCACCCTAGTGAGTAATCGGGGCTGAGCCCGTCCAGACGACAGGCCACCCAGCCGCCCCAAGGTACTCACTGCACCCGGCTACGGGGTGCGCTCCCTCGGGAGCCGCGGTGCCGCTCCAAGGGAGCAGCCTACATGAGATAAGGGTGCCTGACCAGCCCAGATTGAGGGTTGCGGCGTGATGGAGAAGGATTTGATTGTCCTGAGGATGGAAACGACGGGGTGGTGAAAGAAACTGGACTTCGACCTTTGGGTCTTTGACCTGGTTTTGATCGGGTTAAGGACGTAAATACCCCCTGCATTCTATTTCTAACGTATATGTTCTTGCATTGCTAGCGGGATAAATTATGCTTTTGAAAATGTTTTAGAGTTCATCCTTTCAAATGAAACCTAATAATCGATTGAAATCGGCTTCATCTCCTAGAAACAGGACGACCTTTAGGTATACCGCGATGCTCAAGTGTTCAGTCAAAGATGAGCAAACGTGAGGGAGCGGAAAGGAGCAAAGGTGGAAGGAACTAGATCGTACTTTCGCCCTCCCCCCCCCCCCTTTGTGAAAAGGAATTGAAATTGACGGGTGACGGTAAAAGATAATTGACGCTTTTGGGAGGCTCACGGCCCAAAATTCCTCCAGACGCCCTCGAAGCGTCAGGCATTGCCACGATCCACTGTGACGTCCCCTTCTGCGTCGGTGGCGCCCTCTCATCACTTCGTCGAATCATTAGTTCGCCATCTCACCACTAGGTGATCGCTCAGCCTATTGCGCGGCTTCCCAGCCGGGAATATCCATGGACGGCTGCATCTGCAAGTTCTGTGCAAAATTTAACAAATCTTCAAAGATAATAATAAATTAATTAATGTGATCCCGAGAGTCCGACCATGGAGGCGTGGAGGTCAACGAGAAGGCAGACCGGCTGGCGGGCAATGGCGCGCCCGCTACCAGCAGGATCGTCCTCTCGGCTTCCGACTTCCAGCAACTACTCAAATTCAAGATGGAAACTGACGATGCCAGGAAGCCAAATCCAGGAGAAGCGGAAGTCGGGAGGATGGCCCGTGTCGGTCTGAGGCCGGGCTGGATCGCGAGATCGGGCCTCTGTGGCCCCCGTGGGAGGATGGCGTGCCAGCTCGCGTGCGGGACGGTGTCTCGACGAACCCTGGCCGACATCTGCACGTTGGGAGGAGCGGAGACGGCATGGAGGCGGATCTTCGGCTCCCGTTCCGTCGACGAAGCTGTCGCCGAGGAGTAAGTAAGAGTAAGTAAGTCCGACCATCGGTCATCTACCCGTGACAGTCACCCTCTGCGGGGTAACCGTTTGAACGGCAGGGCGGGCTGTCCCATCGGGACAGCCCCATCCCGCGGGACGCTCTCTGCCGCTGCGGAGCACCGTCGGTTGTCCACACAGTCCAGTGTCTACACCCCTTCCTATCAGCTCGCTGCTCTGCAATAGCCCTTTCAGGCGAAAGAGCTCGCTCCCAACAAAACAATATAGCCACGCCAATCAAGGTTCTACGTCAGCACTACAGACTCGCAATCAGCTGACCTTGTTTGCTTGCATGCTTACAATAAAATATTGGTTTCCACGATTATGAGCATATACCTACATGCATCATCACCAGCATACATCATGACATTATTGCACATGCTTAGTTCAGCAGAATGACACGACTAGACATGCTGGCTCACAATGTGGGACAACGGCCAACGCCGCATGTAGTTCGAAGTCTTTCAACTGCATTGCAGCTCGAATCACTGTCAGCTTCAATAAGAATACTTGCTTTAATCTGCTGAGAAAAATCAACAAATAACGCCAGTCACGAATCATTATTTTTACCAAAGAACGCCGGCAGTCGCCGACTAATTGCCCCGACCAGCGGCGTGTTTCTGCTCTGGAAGTTCTCGTTTTGCCACACCCGTTGGCGTTTTTCACGATTCCGACGTGCAAAGCTCAGGCTGCTGCCCATCCTCCATTCACGAAGTGCCAGCAATGGCGGAGCCAGGAGGAAGCCATGAAAAGGGCACCGCATTGGCGCGATGCTAAACAGCACACAGAAGGAATAATTATAATATAAGCAAAAGATACACATCTATCGATGTGTATCTTTTGCTTATATTAAGGGTGATAAGAAATATTACTTCATGGACGGGTCAGCGATTTGACTGTAACCGTGTACCCCTCTCCCCCTCGCGAACCCCGCGCCTGGGTGCGCCTCTGGCACTGCTGATGCCTCTCTGGACAGTAATCCTAATTTCAGTCGGTGTTTCGATGGGGCTGAGCGGGCCGGTTGCCATTTTTTACCGGACTGCTGAGACGGCACTCACGCGCCGGGGATTAGAGCGGACGGACGGACGGACGGACGGACGAACGGACCACCCCAGTTCGAGCCGAGCGGATGGACGGAGCTGATGGACGTGACTCGCGGCCATTCATGATAGTTCGATCTTTTTTTGCAAAGCACATTTGTATTGTTTACTAAAAACAGCAATGAAATACATATTTTTGGACTTTTCATTCCTTTTTCCAATATTAATTGTCGATGTTCGAGAAAATATTGACATTAAATGTATCTAATGTATGCCTGTTGCCAATAGTCCAAATATTCACGATCAAAACTTTGGTGCGGTCGAACTATTAAATGGACATCTTGACTATCAAAGCGTCTAGAACCCTTCGTTTGTGCCTTTCCTTTCAACGTACTCAGATTACATAAATGCCAATGTTGTTCCTAGGGCTTGCCTATTACCAAGCTCGTTAATCGTTATAGTAAAAAACGATTAAGTTAAGTTATTAAAAAAGTTATAGAATAGCCGCAACCTGACGCTTAGCTTGCATGCCCATTCCCGCGGCGCTGACACTGATCTCTTCTGACCTGTCAGGTCGACCTCCTCTGACCTCTGACGCCGACCAGTGACACTAAACTGTGACCTCTGCCTTTGACCTGTGAAATTTGACCTCTGGCCTCCGACCTCTGACCCTCTGACCTGTTCAAGTGAACCCGGAGGGGTTCGGAGAGGTGCTGAAACTGACCTCTGCCTGTATGTACTCCGACAGTAATATGTGACCTCTGACCTCTGATGCTAGCCTCCGATATGTGACCTCTGGGCTCTGACCTCTGACCCCTGACCTCTGACCCGTTCAGGTGGACCCGGAGGGTTTCGGAGAAGTGCTCGCCGTCGACTTTCTCCGGGCGATGAGCTCTGCTGAGTTTGTTGAGTGTGTGGACGTGGGCAAACGAGTTCAACTGGCCGACCGGATCCGCTCTGGGGAGCTGGAGCTGGTCACCTACCAGGAGTTTGTCAACGTGGTGAGTACCGCTGGTCCGCTCTGGGGAGTTGGAGCTGGTCACCTACCAGGAGTTTGTCAACGTGGTGAGTACCGCTGGTCCGCTCTGGGGAGTTGGAGCTGGTCACCTACCAGGAGTTTGTCAACGTGGTGAGTACCGCTGGTCCGCTCTGGGGAGTTGGAGCTGGTCACCTACCAGGAGTTTGTCAACGTGGTGAGTACCGCTGGTCCGCTCTGGGGAGTTGGAGCTGGTCACATACCAGGAGTTTGTCAACGTGGTGAGTACCGCTGGTCCGCTCTGGGGAGTTGGAGCTGGTCACCTACCAGCAGTTTGTCAACGTGGTGAGTACCGCTGGTTCGCTCTGGGGAGTTGGAGCTGGTCACCTACCAGGAGTTTGTCAACGTGGTGAGTACCGCTGGTCCGCTCTGGGGAGTTGGAGCTGGTCACCTACCAGGAGTTTGTCAACGTGGTGAGTACCGCTGGTCCGCTCTGGGGAGTTGGAGCTGGTCACCTACCAGGAGTTTGTCAACGTGGTGAGTACCGCTGGTCCGCTCTGGGGAGTTGGAGCTGGTCACCTACCAGGAGTTTGTCAACGTGGTGAGTACCGCTGGTCCGCTCTGGGGAGTTGGAGCTGGTCACCTACCAGGAGTTTGTCAACGTGGTGAGTACCGCTGGTCCGCTCCGGGGAGTTGGAGCTGGTCACCTACCAGCAGTTTGTCAACGTGGTGAGTACCGCTGGTCCGCTCTGGGGAGTTGGAGCTGGTCACCTACCAGGAGTTTGTCAACGTGGTGAGTACCGCTGGTCCGCTCCGGGGAGTTGGAGCTGGTCACCTACCAGGAGTTTGTCAACGTGGTGAGTACCGCTGCAGACGCAGGAGTCTGCCTACCGTTAGTAGTTATAATTTCTTTGAGACAATTTACTCTGAACGATATGTATTTTTGTAATTATTGTTTGCCTTGTTTGATGCCTTGATGTAATTACAAAATATTAGGTACATAGGCCTTTTTTAATTTGTTTACCCTATTCGCATCTTTTGTATACTAAAATCGTCCGAAGCAGCAATTTTTTGTAGGATACTCATTTAATCGGCAGTCTGTTTTGCTATTTGATTGAAAATAACTGCATAGCCATTTTTTACACATGTTCGAATAAGTAATACCAGCTAGTCAAGTAACTGATGTGTCAAACCGATTAGTGAGACCACAGCAAGTGCTAAAATATGATGAACAGGGGGGCAGTAAAAATTGTAAACCAAGCAGTATATGCGGCCGTAACCGATAACTTTAGGCATTTTGTGCATCTTACAAAGCGATTAAACCCTTTTACCTGATTGGTCCTCTGGGTTGTACTTACAAGCCCCAATCATGGATTACTCTCGGATTACAAACCGAATTACAAGCCACAAACCACCATATTATCTCGTGGTCTCGCCTAAACCTATTTGAACATTCGAAACACATCGAGGACAACAGGCTTCGTGACGGCATAAGCTCGCACCTAAACTCTTCCCTGCCTCGAGCGAGGTACCCGACAGAGCGTATAAAACTTGCACGTATGTCGAGAGTTTGAAAAAGAGCTGCTTACGTGCCATGGCACAGTAAACGTGACAAACACCTTACAGATGAAACATATCGCACTTGTGTCGCCTTCGCCGAAACGCTGCTGAAATGTTTCGGGGAAGATGTCCTGCAGTCTGCACCCTCTGTCCTCGTGCCATTTGTCGTTTCGGATGTTACTCAGTGCTCACAGGCCCATTTCCAGCCAACCAGCTATAATGAAGGAGCGGCAGATGCGTCCATAGGCGAGAAACTGAATTGAGTGTACACGGTGGAAAAAAAATATAATGATTCTAAATCAACAAAACGAATCCAATTTTTCGGTAGTTCTGACAAAATTCAAATAGTACACTTGAAGGCACACGGAAGTGTTTAGTTTACAGCCACCCGCGGTTTTATTTTTTAAAATGGCGCCAATCTCAGCACTGTAGCTGAAAGTTTGCGTGCTTGTAGTTCGATTATTTTCACTGCATGTCAGCATTTCATGTTTCAGGGAAGTCGATTATGCATATTGAACAGGTGCTCCCGCTGAACAGTCGCCCCTCGGATGTGCTAAGACAGTGATGTCACTGTCTGAGATTCCTTAACTCCAGCCGATCACAGCTAATTTTGCGATTTCCTACGGCTTTACGCGTGAATAGACCTCAACGTCAGACCGGTATGTTTCACAGCTCCCAGTACCTACTGCATCCAGACTGCAGTTCTGGTTTGTCGAACTGGTGATACCTATGACTTCACCATGACACGTCACCCAGCTACTGAACACGCGGCTTTGGTGTCGGCCCAACACGGACGTGCTGGTCTGATTGATGAGCGGAAGGTATTTTCAGACAGCGCTTATCAGGCACGCCACTGAGGATCTGAGTTGACTAGAGTCAATTATCGGGTGATGTCAGGCGATTTTCTCAGATTTATGTCTAAATATATCTGTCTGGCAGCAGGCAGCATATGCCTTCCCATATGTTCTCAGAGGCGCCTCCAGTTGTTCAATTAACCCGCGCGGGGCTGGGGTCTCCAGCCGAACGCGCGGGGCTGGGGGGGGGGGTAAATTTTACCCCCCCCCCCTGCTATCTCCCGAACTAATGGTCCGATTTGGAAAATTCAAACACCAATCGAAAGATCTCATCACGAACAACTAAAAACATGTACTTTATTTAAAGTTTGAGGTCAAGGTCAAGGTCAGGTCAAGGGTACAAATTGAAAGTTTCTACAGTATCGGCCTTGCACCGTAGTTGCCGAAGAATGGAGTCATGGACTGAGACGGATTGCCCAAAACGTGTTCTTAGGCTACCAAGACAATATTCCTTGCATACAATATCATTCAGAGGTCAAGGTCAAGGTCAGGTCAGGTCAGGTCAGGTCACAAAAAAACAAAATATAGAAAAGGGCATTTGCAACACATGTTTTATGGGTCATTTTATTCATAAAATTCAATAGGCACACTCAATAGGTGATATGGACCACATCTGGATGAATTTCAGGTCGAGGTCAGGTCAAGGTCAGGTCAAGTGAGGTCAAATTTTGAAGTTGGTTGTTAAGGCCTACAAAGGTGTTGTCTATCTGATGCAGTTTTTCACGGCGAATCAAATGGTGCTATTTTTGTTTCCTTACGAGGTCTAGAACTTCCAAAAAAATCATTTTTCAAAAAAATGTGTGTCGTGACGTCATACAATTTTGAATAACTTCCACATTTTTGAACCGATTCTTCTAAAAATTGGTATGTAGGTGCACATATACCACTTCTCTGACATATATTCCGGTTTTTTCGATACACGCAAAATTTTTGATTTTATAATTATTTTCCCAAAAAAGTCAGTTTTTTTTAGGAAAAAAATGGGCCAAAATCAATGATTTTCAAAAAACCGAGATAGCCATTTGATAGACAAAAGAGAATCATGTTAACTTTTTTTGTTACGTCTTGATTCCCTTAAAAATGAAGATGTTAGCGGCGTTTGAAATTGTGCCGTTTTTTTAGGCGAAAATGGCGAACATGACGTCAATAAAACGTCATTTTCTCAAAAAAAGTTTCCGAGGGATTTCGCTCAAATTTTCAGGGAACGTGTCAAATTGATGTAAGAAAAGGTACTGAAAGTTTGGCGGCGCTGCGCGCCGCCGTTTTCGAGATATTGCAAAAATTCGCGAGGGGGGGGGTTAAATTTACCCCCTCCCCCAGCCCCGCGCGGGTTAAGGACCATTTCAATGACCACAACCACTTCTGGGCGAGACGCCTGCTGTGGCCAACACTGCACCCTCGGACCATTATTTACGCCTTCAGTAACATGTGCCGCGCCCACTGTAGGCAGCTTAGTGTGTTTCTGCTGCCACTCCGGAACGAAGGGCGGCGGTGTTAGTGCGCTGTTTGTGTTTACCAAGGTGGTGCGGTCACAAGGCGCCCACGTTTAGCTGGCCATGCCGTTACGTACATGGGACTTGCGATAAGGATAACGCATTTAGTTACAACACATGACCAATAAAGTTCAAAGTTCGCGTGAATAATAGCCGTTTTCACGACGGCCATCTGGTACACATTTGGTGCACATCTGGTACAGATTAGGTGCAGATTTGGTCAAATCAGGTTCAGTGTGTCTCTTAGCAGCTGTCAGCTATAGGGTTGCACTAATTGCTTATTTGCCTGCTTTGTCATATTATCAGAGAGCATCATCGATTAAAACACTGAAATAAATTCATAAAATGAAGATATTTGCTGTAAAAGAAATTAGGTGCAGATCTGGTCAGATCAGGTGCATTCGCCGGATAGCCCGTCGTGAAAACGGCTAATATTTATATGTCATTGAAAACATTTATTCAGAGACCACAGTGGTTACTAAGTTTATCAATGCTCAGCATTTGGGCCGATGACATCAGTCCAGAATCGGTCCAGAAACAGTTCGTAACTGCTCCAGCAACACCCCAGCATCACTGCAGCTCGGTCCGGGCTGCCTGGTGACGGTCCCAGCCGACTCTCCCTACCCTCGACAGTCGGCCGGTGCCGACAGAGCAGAGCACCACGCTGACCTCCGCGCCGGCTTACCGCCGTCACGCGGCCATCTTTTGCCGTCGCTAACGCGTTTAAGTGGTGTTCTGAGCACCGCTAATCAGTGCAGAGCACCTGGCCGGTCCTAGCGGGCCGACTCGTGACAAACTCTGACCAACGGAATGATACCGCAATGATTCTGCAGTACAACCACCAGCGGTGGCCGTCAGGGCCCGGACCAAAAATTTCGACAATCCAGCGCCATTCCTGGCGCGGCGCGGGCGGTGGAATGCCGGGAATGGAATGCCGCTCAGATGCGGACCGTGAAGTTAACGACCGCAGTTCGACACGTGATTTGGCGAGTTATTGCAGGGCTGTGAGAGCAAGTTTGCACGTGCATTGCGCAAAGGCGAGCAAATCTGGACGGTTGACGGTGTTAGGAGTGTGAGACAGGAATTGTTACGGCTAGAGGTGACGGCTTGGTGCTAAAAGAATTGAATACCGTGGAGTGAAATATCGACGTTGTTACACCGGCGGCATTTTCAGTGCACGTTATCTGACCAGTCCACGCAATCTGATGCCTCCTTTTGTTCTTGGATGCATCAGGTTGTCTATTTTCTAATGTGAACCAAAATATCCTTTAACCATTTATCGGCTGCTGTGCTAAATTTGGTTCGTTTCTTCGCGACTGTTAAGCTCTCCCAAGTTAAGGTGTTTGGCACGAGCTGCTGGGCCACCAAATCCCGCCATTACAGAGGACCGCCAGACTCACGGAGCCGGACGCGCCGAGTTTGCATCTGGGCCGCGCTCCTCTCCAGGGGATAGCACTGAAGGCACGCGAGCGGCCTCAGTACCCACCTGGGCACCAGGCACGAGACGGTGAGGGAGGGCCTGCTGGTCAGGGCGCTGCAGAATCCCCCGTGATACTACAGCACTGCGCGAGCGGCGTCAGTGGCCGACCACCAGCTCGGGAAGGTGCGGGAAGGACTGCTCCCGTGATACTAGTCGGTAGGCGTGACTCGGTAATTGAGAATGGAGGCTTTCAGCAGCGAGTTAGGAGTGAGAGAAATCACATTTCAGGATAAAGAGGAGCATCCGGAGGGACAGCATGCAATGTATGTACATTTAATAAACCATGGAATATCGCATGCACGGAAAACACGCAAAGATTTTTGTTTTTGTTTTGTATGTGTCAGATCATTTTATGTGGTAGTTTGTGAATTTCCAATTTGATGATCGTAGTCATATTTTGGAACTGCGTCTTGTAGGTTTTTATTCTTTTTTATTCAATACTTTTTTAAACACCTGTTGTCATGAATGAACCTGGCGTGCAGCGAGGATAAAGGAACTACTTTTAGTTTGCGGTTACATCCCGAATCAGGCTTAGTGTCTGAAATACGTTTATGTAATCCCCTCTGATCCGCTTCGCCCGTCCCATTAAGCGCTGCCGTTTGCACGATGCTGCCCATGCCAAATGCCCATATGTCCATGTTGTTTCCGTTTAAAGATCTTAGCTTTTTGTGAGGAACAGTGCACAGTAAACGTGACTGGTATTTTATATGAATGGAACATTGTTGAAATTACGATTTTCTTTACTGATGTCATTTATCTTTGTCTTTGTTGCTGTTGCTTTCTGGAAGTTATTTGCCGTGAAGACCATGGCCAAACCTTATAGTGAATGAGCTTGAAGACTCTCAGTATAAGAATTACAAACCGCATTTACTTTTATCCCTCGTTAGACATGATAATAGAAGTTCTTTTCGTTTCCGACTCTTGTCTGAGTTAGGCTTTTACAAATCTTGTTTAGCCTTAAGGATGTATCATGTATAATGCAATGGACATTGGACTGTCAACAACCGTGCTTACAAGTATAAGCAATGGACTGTGGGAAATGCCTTGATGAATTCATGATGACCTGGCATACCGAGCTATGTGGTAAGAAATTGGAAGACACGGCCTCTAAAGTCCACCTCCCAATTAAGGGTACAAGCAGCTGCATTTGATGTCTAATGGCTTGAAACGACCAAAGTGGGTTCCGGTGGCATAAGGCTCTAAATAGGTGTAGTTTTGTGAAGTTGTTAAACAACTGAAATATTTTGCTACGCAATAATGGAATATTACCGTAAACCGGGGTGAGTTGATATGGGGTGGTGAGTTGATATAAATTGCTCGAAAAATGTTAAAATGTGTGCTGCTCATCTATTTGTAAACCAATTTTCAGTTTTACTTTTTCTGTGAAGTGAAGCAACCAATAAGTGATGCATATAGCTGAGAAAGGCATGCATGTGGTGCAGTGCCTTCTTAACACATTACTTTTTTCAAAGTCCTTTTTTTCTTCTGATTTTGAAACTAAGGAAAAGTCCCCACCCTACAGCAAAGACGGTGGATATTCATGAAACACCATGCACTGGGAAAGAAACTACCATCAATTTACTGTTGATCCCAGGTAATTTTGGGTTTCACCTATAACAACGCTTTTTTATAATTTTAAGAAAAGTGACAGGTGGTGAGTTGATATGCCATCAAGTGGTGAGTTGATATGCATGATAAAAGCTGATACCAGGCTGGTAGGCATGCAAATTAGCATGAAATATGGGTCTGCAGGTAAGACAAAGTCAATTAGACCAACTCTTCTCCTTTTCTTTCCCCACATCATTCCATCAACCCCCAAAAGCTTTAGTTTTTTTTCTGAATGCTTGAGACGAGGCCTGTTAGTATCACTGAATTTAGTTGTCGGACTTTCGTCCCCGTCTTGAGTTGAGATGTTAGTTTCACAACGTTTCAGCCAGTAACTTATCCGGCCATAGTCAAATCTGCCTCGATGGTGGAGTG